CCTTCTTTTCTCTTCTCCTCTCTCTCCTTCCATTCTCCTTTCTTTCCTTCCTTCTTTTCTCTTCTCTTCTCTCTCCTTCCATATAGCATACAGCTCTCTCTAGGCTGCTACCAGTTCGCCCCAGTCTGGGCGAATCCACAACTAATGTTATGGCAGGTTTGGCGAACAGGCAAATCCCAGACCTGGTTGGCCCCGTCCACCCACCCCTCCCCTCCCCTCCCAGGCTTCTCCACACAGACTGTTTTGGACGCGAGGTAAGTGCAGGGCCGGTGCGAAGGCTTGGGGAGAGTGAAAAACAGGCCTCCCAGAAGCTCCAGAAAGCCGGAAACGGGCCCATTTCCGGTCTCCAGAGGGCCTCCGGAACCCAGGGAGGCTGTTTTCGCTCTCCTGGAGGCTCGAGGAAAGCCTCCGGAGCCCGGGGAGGATGAAAATGGCCCCCCGCCCCCACTGTGGTGCAGGAGGCCAAGTAGGCCACACCCACCATGGCCACGCCTACCCAGCAACCAGGCAGAGAACTGGTTGCTGAAATTTCTGAAGCCCACCCCTGGTTCCACCCCCCCCATACCCTGGAGGGATGAGGGGCTCACTTGGAAGATGGCAAGGCTCGGCTTGACAGGTGGGAGGCGCGGAGTCATCATGATGCTGTTCTCGTTGGCTTCGCACTCGTGGATGGTGACGATTTTAAGGGCAGCCGAGGGTGGCAGGGGAAGGTGGCTGAGACGGGCGTTCTTCAAATGGTGGAAATCACCCTCAGTCAGAGTGTACCTAACGGGAAAAGCAGAAAAAACAAACAAACCCCAACAATGAAACAGGAAGGCTGAAGTCATCTTAAGACATCCCCATATTTTGCTTCTGGACAAAGAGTATATAGGTAGTCCCTTGACTTACGACCACGATTGAGCCCTGAATTTCCATTGCTAAGAAACACAGGCGTTAAGTGAAGTCTGCTGCCTTTTACAACTTTAATTGCCACCGTTGTTAAGTGATTTGCTGCAGTTGTTAAGTGAATCAAGTGGTCATTAAGCAAATCTGGCTTTCCCCATTGACTTTGCTTATCGGAAGCCACCTGAGAAGGTTCTAACTTGTGATCACATGACCTCGGGACAGGACAATTATCATACACGCCAGATCATTTTCTCCTTAATTTATTATTTAAACAGAAGAGTGTCTAATGTTCTAATTGCTGACATTTTCCAATCGTTCTAATTTTCTAATTATTAGAAATATTTATTTCTAAATAATTATTAAAAATAATTCCCTGAAATTTTCTAATGTTTCTAAAAGTTTCTATATGTTTGATGGCTGAAAGAGAAAAGAAGAACTAGGGGGTGACATGATAGCAGCATTCCAGTGTTTAAGAGGCTGCCACAAAGAAGAGGTGGTCAACTTTTTCTCCAAAAAGCAAGACAAGAAACAGTGAATGGAAACTAATCAAAGAGAGAAGCAATCTAGAATTAAGGAAAAAACTTCCTAACAGTGAGGGCAATTAACTAGTGTAACAGCTTGCCATCAGAAGTTGTGGGTGCTCCAACAATGGACATTTTTAAGAAGAAATTGAAAAATTCACCTGAAATTGTATAGGGCAGAGGTGGCTAGCCTTTTGGGGCTTCTGAGCCAAAAATTGCGTGCGTGCACTGTGTCAGCACCCATAAGGCAATGCGCCCCCCCATACCCCCTGCGCATGCTAGACAATCCCCCCTCCTTACCTGCACTGTGCCTCCCAGCTGATTTTCAGCCTCCCAGAGGCTTGAGGGAAGCCTCTGAAACCTTTGCAGGCTGAAAAATGGGCCCGTCTCGTCACTTTCCAGTATTTCCGGAAATACAGGAAGTGACAAAATGGGCCTATTTTTCAGCCTGCAAAGGCTGCAAATGTTTCCCTCAAGCCTCTGGGAGGCCGAAAAAGGCCTCAAACAGGCCGAAAATCAGCTGAGAGGCACACGCATGCGCTGTGAGGTAAGTTTGCCTGGGGCTTGCATACCTGCACAAATGCCATAGGTTCGCCATCACGGGTAGAGGGTCTCCTGCCTGAGCAGGGGGTTGGACTAGAAGACCTCCAAGGTCCCTTCCTACTCTGTTATACTGTTATTCAGACGCACCACTCCAGCTCCCCGCCCTGCCCTCCAGTTGTAGAACCTCCAATTCCCAGCCCAGCCTCCTGGTTCCTGATCAAGACTCACCTCCTTCCCTTCTCCTGTGTTTTCTTGCTCTGCTCAAAAAGGGCAGCTTCGTTGAAAGACACCCTTCGCCCCGTGGCGCTGCCGGAAGACAGAAATCGCTCACTCTCTGCATCTCGATAACTGGAACTAGACGTGCATTCCGGGTCATCCACTTTGATGGTGATGTCTAAGAGGAAGGGGTGGAAAAAGAGAGCGTGTGTGAATATGCAGCAGAGGCAGCCTACTTCTGTCCCTAAGGAGAAATATGGGTAGTCTTCCACTTACAACCACAATGGAGCCCTAAATTTCCATTGCTAAATGAGACAGTTAAGTGAATTTCCGTTCTTGACACAGTTGCTAAGTGAATCATTGCAAGTTAGTAACATGGTTGTTAAGTGAATCTGGTTTCCCCACTGATTTTGCTTCTCAGAGGATTGCAAAAGGAATCACATAATCCTGAGACATTGCAACCGTCATAAATGTGAATCAGTTGTCAAGCATCCGAATACTGATCAGATAACCATGAGGATGCCAGAACAGTTGTAAGTGTGAAATACGGTCATAAGTCATTTTTTTTTCCAGTTGCCATTGTTACTTTGAACTGTCACTAAATGATATGGTTGTAAATCGAGGACTACCGGTAAGTTCTCAGCTTACACCTGGTTGCTTAGCAACTATTTGAAGTTATAGCTGACCTATCCGGGACTACTTATAAGAGGGATCCAACTTTTGGTCATGTGACTAGAATGATCGGGGCCCTTCTTCTAATCACATGACCAGACTTTGGTTGCTTGGCAACCAGGCAGCACTTTTGGCTGTTTGCCATGTCCTGTGGTCACGTGACCACCTTTTACAGTGGTTTGGCTCAGGGATGGGATTCAAAAATCCCAGCGACCGGTTCGCTGCCCGGTTGCTGAGTGGGCATGGCCATGGTGGGCGGGACTTACCAGAACTTCCTGTTTCCGGCTTCCGGTGGCCCTCCAGAGCCTGGGGGAAGCCATTTTCGCCCACCCAAGGGTCCAGAGGCCTCTCCTGGGCCTCTGGGAGGGCGAAAATAGCCTCCCCTGGGCTCTGGAGGGCCACCGGAAGCCGGAAACAGGCCCGTTTCTGGACTTCCAGAAGGCCCCCATTTTTCCCCCCTCCCAGAGCTTCCACACAGACCTTGCACTTTCCTCCATCATAAATGGGCTACCTGGAGACTCCTGGGAGGGGCGGGGCCAGCCGGTTGGTTGAAATACCGGTTCGACGAACCAGATATAACTTTAACATCCAGTTCAAGCAAACCGGTTCAAACTGGTAGCATCCCACCCCTGGTTTTGCTGATAATCTGCATTGGGCAAAACTGCCTCCATATTTGACTCATGGGTTCCTTTAACAACCATGTTATTCCTTTTATGACTGCTACAAACGAAGGCCCTAAAATCAGGCCCGACTGATTTTTATGAACCTCACAACTGACGATTGTGAAGGGCCGGCTCCATTATAGTTGTAATTCAAGGACTACCTGTATGTGCCCGGAAAACAGTTATAATTCCCCGTTTCCTCAGTTTAAAAATAAGGAACGCATCTGATACGATCGGGGTTGATGTTGGGATTGGCTCTCGCACTCTGTGGAACATTAGATGCAAACTTCACAATTCCCTTTTTGTGGGAGATGTTGAAATGTAAACGGCTTCCACCAACAGCAATTTAATTCCAATTTGTGCATGAGCAGAGAGGGTCAGTCTTAATGCCCTCACCTTGTGCCGGCTGTGAGTCATCCAGATAGGTTGTGTTCGTTTTTTCTGGGTCATCGCTGGCTCTGAAAATAGGGAAAAGGTGATATATGTAGATATTATTAACACAGGCACAAATCCACTTCCGGTTTGAACATCTCAAGATAAGCATCCAAATACAGGTAGTCCTTGACTTACGACCACACCCAAATTTCTTTTGCTAAGTGCTAAGCTTTGTTAAGTGAGTTTGCCCCATTTTACGACCTTTCTTGACACAGTTAAGTGAATCACTGCACTATTAACACGGTTGTGAAGTGAATCTGGCTTTCCCCATTGACTTTGCTTGTCTGAAGGTCGCAAAAGGGGATCGCCTGACCCCGGGGCACTGCAACCGTCATAAATACAAGTCAGTTGTCAAGCATCTGAATTTTGATCACGTGACCATGGAGATGCTGCAATGGTCGTAAGTGTGAAACACAATCATAAATCAGTTGTTTCCGTGCCACTGTAACTTCAAATCGTCACTGAAAATGAACTGTTGTCAGTTGAGAACCTGTAGTTGCTGACTAAACACCAGGGGCATTAAATGAATCCGTTGTTCACTGTGGAGTGTTTCTTGCCAGAAACTAGAATTAAACACTGGTTTCTGGCAAACAGGTTGTAAGTTGCAGTCATGTGACCCTGGGATCCTGCAAATAGGTATAAATGAGGGCCGGTTTTCAAGCTCTCCAAATGTGGTCATGTGACTGTGGCTGTCAGAAGTTCAAGTCCAGGTTGCAAGCAGCTTTTTTAGGATCTGCTGTAACTTTGAACGGTCGCTAAGTGAGTCATCATAAGTCAAGGACTACTTACATTTAGCACTACCCCCTTTCATTTTTCCCCCTTCAACCTGAGAGGGAGGGACTGCTCCAGAGTCTCCCCAAAATTTCTATGGCTGAAGAGGGGCTAGAACAGAGGTCTCCAAATTCGGCAGCTTTTAAGATTTGTGGACTTCAACTCCCAGAACTCTTCAGCCAGCATAGCTGAGGAATTCAGGAAGGGAGGCACAGGAAGTAAGGAAGAAAGAAAGGGAGGGAGGGAGGGAGGAAGGAGAAGGAAGGAAGGAAATTTTAATAGTTTAATAGGGCAGGGTTTTTTTTCACCCTTTCCCTTCTGGCCCTGCTTGGTTGCAATTCCCACAATTGTTAGCTAGCATGGCTACAGATTCTTGCTGTGTTACTACCAATATATCAGAATGGCCCCTACATAGGGAAGGCCCCTCCCAGACCCTCCTTTAAAGCAGGGGTCTCCAACCTTGTCAACTTGAAGACTTCTGGACTTCAACTCCCAGAATTCCTCAGCCTGGCTGAGGAACTCTGGGAGTTGAAGTCCACAAGTCTTCAAGTTGACAAGGCTGGAGACCCTTGCTTTAAAACACGATCTATATCCTACCCCAAACAGACCCTCCCCATGCAGTGGCCTTCCCTTCCCATCCGTACCTGGAGCGCCTTTGGTCCGTTTCACAGCAGCGCCGGCAGACGATCAGGATGCCAAACAGCAGCACCAAGGTGCCCCCGATAAAGATAGAAAGAAGCACAAGAAGTAACACATAACCGTCCTGGGGGCTCACTTCGGCAGGCACCGTCTGGGAGATATGTGGTGGCGGGGAGGGGAAGGGGGTGATGGTGAATGGAGACAAGAAAAAGAGAAGCAGAAATAAATCCATTATTGTTGTTTTTTACTTCGCCAAAATCATAAGGTTTGCCTGACATGGATTGTATTTCAAAGCAAAACTGGAAGGCTTGTAAAAGTTTTGTAAGGTTCTGTAACATGGAGGCGTCCTCAAAATAGGTCCACCATTGAGCCCAAAACATCTGTTGCTAAGCGAGATGTTTGTTAAGTGAATTTTGCCCCATTTTTCAGCCTTTCTTGCCAGAGTTGTTAAGTGAGTCACTCAGTTCTTAAGTTTGTAACACAGTTATGTGAATCGCTTGAAGGTATGTGGACTTCAACTCCCAGAATTCCTCAGCCAGGATGTGAACTCCACATATCTAAAAGCATCCTGGCTGGAGAATTCTGGGAGTTGAAGTCCACACACCTTCAAACTGTCAAGTTTGAGAAACACTGCTCTGCAGGTAGTCCTCCACTTACGACCACAACTGAGCCCAGAATTTATGTTGCTAAACGAGACATTTAATGAGTTTTTGTCCCATTTGCCTCGTTTAAGTGAATCACTGCAGTTATTAGATTAGTAACATGGTTGCTAAATGAATCTGGCTTCCCCATTGACTTTACTCATCATAAGGTCGCAAAAGGGGATCATATGATCCAGGGACATTGCAACCGTCATAAATATGAATCAGTTGCCAAGGTTTATTGTTCTAAAAATAAATACTTTCCACAACATGATGCAGTCTAAGTGAGCTGGACTTCAGCTCCCATCATTCCCCATCTAAAATGGAGGTTGCATAGAAATTTGGGGGATCTGCGAATAGGTGTCAGGTGGGGCAAGGAGGACTAAGATGCTTTATAGTCTGTGGGTGGGGCCAATTAGTAAAAAAAATGTGGGGGAGCATCAGGAAGAAAAGGTAATTGCATCACTGAAAGCTAGTAAGGTGGGTTACAGGTAGTCCTTGACTTATGACAATTGTGCCCAAAATTTTCATGGCTAAGCAAGAGCAGTTGCTAAGTGAGTTTTCTCCCATTTTACAACTTATTTGTTACAGTTGCTAAGCAAAGAACCAAGTGGCTCAAGCAGTCGTTAAGTGAATCTGGCTTCCCCCACTGACGTCGCTTAACCCAGCTGCGAAGGTTACCAGTGGTGATCCCGTGAGCCTGCAAACGTTAATTGATTTATTATGCCAGTTACCAAGTGCCCAAATTTTGAGCATGTGTCTATAAGGGGATATTGCAACCGTCACAAATGTGAAAACCAGTTATAAGTCACTTTTTTCCAGTTCCATTATAACGTTGGTCACTAAATGAATGGTTGTAAGTCAAGGGCTATTTGGGTAATTCTTTTCCCCCAAACAGTTGGTTTCCAACAATCCAGGATAGCATTTTTTATAACTTTGGAAACTTTTAAGATGTTTGGACTTCAGTTCCCAGAATTCCCCAGCCTGCATGGCTGGCGGAAGAATTCTGGGAGTTGAAGTCCAAACATTGCTGAAGTTGGAAAAAAACCCCCACTGTTTTAGGTCGTATGAATATCCAAAACAGAATTGCCCTTTGTTCAATCTCCATCCAAACAAGCATTGTTTCCAAGCATTAAACATTTTCCCTCATTAATTTTGGGCTCTTCGCCAAAGTCCAAAGACAAGAGCCTTTTTTTAAATCTGGAAATATTGAAAAAGGAAATATTTTCACCTCATCCTTCCCAGGTTCCAATGCCCAACTTGTGATTCTGCTAGCCAGGTTTCCAAAATCCTCAGCAGAGGAACTATCAAAGGCTAAGATAAAGTATTCTCCCATGTGAGCATCACCTGTTTAAGCTTGGCAATCAACTAGTCCTCAGCAAGTACAGGAATAGTGAACTACATAAGACACTAAACCTGAGCTCTCCAATTCGCACTCGTGTCCGGTCTCTCCTGAAACGACTTCCCAGAGACAGAAGACAACTTTAGCAGAAACCCAGATACCTGCAGCATCTTAAATGCTCACACAACTTTCCAGATCAAGACCCAAGTCTGCAAAAACCTAAGCAATACAGGTAGTCCTCAACTTACGACAGTTCATGTAGTGACCAAAGTTTTACAATGGCACTGGGAAAAAAACCCAATTATGACTATTGACCATTTTTCACGCTTACAACCGTTGCAGCATCCCCAACAGTCAAGGGATCCAAATTCCAATGCTTGGCAATTGACTCGCCTTTACAACGCTTGCAGTGGCTTCGGAGTTATGCAATTCCTCCTTTTGCGACCTTCTGACAAGCAAAGTCAATGGGAGCAACCGGATTCCCTGGACAACCGGGGTTACTAAAGAACCGCAGCGATTCACATAACAAATGCAGCGAGAAAAGTCGTAAAAACGGGGCGAACTCATTGAACTAGCATAAATTCTGGGCTCAGTTGGAGTCGTAAGTTGAGGACTACCTGTAATCGCTTAGTATGAAGTCCTTAAAAATATCACAAGGCCAAAAAGACGAGATTCGGTTTCTGTCCGTTGGATAAGTTTTGCGCGGCAGTTGCCAAGAGATAAGAAGATAGCTTGTTCCGTGTTGGGAAAGAATAGCCCTCTCTGTGGGAGGGGAAACAGCTGAGAGTCGAGTCCGTAGACAGCTGCCTTGTAACCAGGTTAGGCTCTCTGGCCTGCCTCCTTGTCAGCTGCCATGTTGGCTAAGCATTCAGGATCCCAAGACATTCTGGCGCTTCCTTTATTCGGGCAAGCGGAGGCTGTGTCTCCAGACTCCCCTGACCATAATCCTTTTCGAAACGGGGAGATTGTCAGAAGTGAGGCCAGGATTTTCGATGTGCAAAACAAATGTCTGTTCGGGTTTTTCCCCACTGAGAGGAGAGAGTCCAAACTTCTGCTGTGCAATTTGAGCATTTGTGTATGTGTGTGGGTGTGTTAAACAGCTGAACAAGCTTCTTCAGCCTTGCTCTCGGACAGCTGACCCAAAAGCCCCGTATCCTCTTTCCTTGCCCCCAAACCCGCTGAATCCAGAATCCTGTCTGAAGCCAACGATTGAGGCCCTGGGTGCTCTCTCAGCTGGGTTGTTTTCTTGCAGACGTTTCATGACCTAACTAGGTAACATCATCAGTGCTATAGGAGGATATAGCTCCATGCTCAGAGAGCAGCAAGGACGCCACAGTTCAATCCTGAGCTAAAAATATTCTCATCTATTGGTACTTAAGCCACTCAGGGACCACAGAGATGTGCCCCCTCAGGGTCTTTTATATTCAGGCAACAAAACCTTCCCCAGTCTGGCCTGCCCAGAGATTCTGGAACACAGATACCATAATCCCCCAGAGTTCCCCTGAACCCCAAACGTTATACAAGACCAGGCTACCTCACACCTTCCAGGAGTTTTCAACTCCCATCAACCTCCTCCAGGACGGCCAAGAGAAAAAAAAAAGTCAAACTGGAGAAGAGCAACAGCGAGAAACAAAAAAAAAAAAAACACTTGGTGCATGCTCAGAGGAGCTGCGAAATTCTTTTAATGAAAGCACTTCCCTGCATCTGTCACCGTGGGGAGGGTGAGGAGACAGAACACGTGTCTGCTGCTAGAAGACCTCCAACACACATGAGCATGCATTCAGACAACACACGTTCCGCCCAAGTTGCTAATACGGGCCTGGCGTCTCCTCCGCTGGCCTCCAAACGGAACAGAAGCAATAGGGGAGGGGGGGAGCCACAATGTTGGAAGAGCAAGAGAGAGCATGCGCCCCCCCCCCGCCTCCACCAAAAGAACCCATTCCCCAGCCAGGCCCGTCTTCTGCACACTCACCGTCACGCCTTCAGTTGTCGTATTTGCCCATGAAGTAAACGCATCGCTCATTGTCTGTGGCCAGAGTAGAAAGTCTCTTCCAAGCTGGGCATATAAATCAAAACTAGTTGGCTTTTTTTTTTTTTTAAAAAAAAAATAAGACTCAGGAAAATGAAGGAGAGTGGAACATCAATCAAAATGGGCTGAAGAGGAAGAAGAGTGACCAGAGACTGCAGGCTTCTTTTTTTTTCTTTCTTCTTTTTCTTTTTCTCTCGTTCCCTCTCTCCCGCAAGCTTTTATCCCTGCCTCTCGTTTCGTTCTTCCTTGCAGCTCACATGTTTGGGAGGGAAGAGAGGAGGAACCATGGCTGGCTCAGCTCACAGCATCTTCGTGTCCCTGGTCTTCCGGTGCCGGAGATGATGGACTGGTGTGCCTTGTCTCCTTCTCTGGGGCTGGATTTCTTTCCTGGCAGAACCAGATTTCAACTGGGAAGGAAGGAGAGAGAGAGAAAAGGGCTGTTGGTGAGGGGAGGAAGGAGGAGAATGTTTTTGTTCTGGTTGGTTGGTTTTGAGAGAAAGATGGAGAACAGGGAGATGAGGAGGAGAAGAAGAAGAGGAGAGGAGAAGGGAAGATCTGGTGGGAGCAAAACAGCTAGAGGTGAGGAGAGCATCCGTTTTCTCGAGGTTTGGAGGGGCTATTTTGTTTTGTTTTTTTTCATCCCTGGCACTTTTCTGGTTCTGCTTTTCCTCCTCGCTGCTTTGCAACAGCTACCTTGGCGCGAAGAGCCACAGAAAGCCCTTCCCTCGCCTCTCCCTTCGGCCTTTGGATATACAGCCGGGCTGAGGAACCCGCTTTAAGCTCAGCCTCTGCCACCCACTCGGCCAGCAGCAAATGAACTCATCCTCCTGTCCTCATCATGGCTTTTAAAAATGCAACCCAACGCCACCAGCCCAGCAGCCTCCAAAGCCCACACGTGGGGGTGACTCACAGGAATCCACCAGCCGAGAGAGAGAGAGAGAGAGAGAGAGAGAGAGAGAGAGAGAGAGAGGGGACAGGGCAGTGGTGGGAGCAGTAGGTAGTGGTGGGAGCCAGCGCAGAGATGCCGGAGAGAGGGACAGGCTGGGCTCAGCCAAGCTGCAGTGACAAGGATGGACCGGCCAGGCCTGCCCGCCCCCTCGCCCCCCAGAAGGGAGAAAATGAAATTAAAAAATTACACCGGTTCAAGGCACTCCCCGAAACAGGTGGCGGATTCTAAGCTTCCCTCCTTTTGCTTTGCTCCCAGCGTTATTCTCTCTACAGTGCATGGCTGGAGCATCTGCTCTGCCCGCTAGGCATTATGGGAAATTCAGTCCAATACGTCTGGAGCTGAGGAAGGTGCTAGCACAGTTATCAACATCTGAAAAGAGGCTTAAGCACACAAAAAGGCTGCAGAGGGATTAGAATTCATCCAGTCCATTTGCAACAGCTGCCCACAGCAAATAATATTTTTTAAAATCTCTTCACCCTCTCCCCCTTGCAAGAAGATTTCTCTGGGTTTGTTCAGGGTAAACGCTTCCAAGCTTCCTTTAGTAAGGAAGCTAGTGGCAGCAGCCCTTTAATTTGTTCAGCTGCCTAGGCTACGAAGGGTTACAGTCGTAGTGAACACAACACCTTTGTATTTTTTTTGTGAAAGAAAAGTTTCTTTGGGTGAAATTCTTCCACCGGTCCAGCTCTCGCAGCCTGGAAATCTAATTTAGGAAGAGAACAAACTGACAATCCACCATTGCTTGACTGTAGAGTGGTACGCTTGGTTTAGAATGGCAAATTTAAGGATTTTCTTTTCCAAGGAGGAGTTTGCCTTCCCTAATGGTACATCCATATGCAGAGTGCTATGAGTTATCAGCCCATAGTACCATTCCCTACAAATTAAATAAGAACTTAACATTAAACTGAAATGTAAGATTGAGCTTAGACAGCAAGGGGAGAGGTCCTATCCTTTGCCTGGTGATTACAGTCTTCTCTGGGGGAAATAACCAAAGTAGCCTGCAAAAATATTCATGGAAGACTTCACGGGTGGGGATGCTTCCCTATGCTGAGGATGGGGCTAGATTGGATGATCTCAGAGGTCCCTCCTCATTCAGGGCATCTATGCAAGGCAACTGCCAAGGTGTGGCTTCATTTTATTTATCTGCTTTGCACACCCTTCTGCCAATTCCAAATACACGGGACTTTCTGCCATGGGAATCGGAGCGTTTTTTGAAAGGGCTTTTTCGTTTTTTTCAAGGCCCAGGATGGTAGGAAGGGGAGGAATTCCTTCCCTGTCCACCCCAGCCTTGTCCACAGAGGGGAAGGTAAACAGCAGAAGATCTCCTTCCCGTGATGATGGAAGAATTTCATCTCCATGGTGATGTCCAAGTGAAAAGCAGGCGACTCTGGTCTTCTTCACCCACTGGGGAGAAACGGGATTCTAACACCTCTTTTTCCACGGAGCAATTCTGTCTCTCTCGGGGAAAGGTTAAAAATGGCAGTGGAGAGTCCTGTGTCTTTGCTGCTCCTCCCTTCACACAAACTCACTTGGTGAGGGCTCAAAGGAGGCAGGGGGCTTGGATTCCTCACACTGCATGGAGCAGACCAGAGCGTGACAGCTGGAAAGCCTTTATCCTTGGGGTGTAACATGGTAAAGAGGGTTTCCAGAGGTTGTCTGAACCCAAGTAGTTGGGAACAGCCTCTGGAGGCAAGAGGGGGTGAGTGAGAGAGAGAGAAGCGCAACCTGCTCAGGAGAAGCAGGGAGGCTGTTTCTAAACAGCCCTCTTTTTTTAAAAAAAAATAAGTGTTTATTTTTTTAAATTGACTCAATGCAGCCTATTGGAGAAAGTTCATTATACGGCCCGCAAGCCTTGTCACATCTTATTCCATCATGGCTAGATCTCTTTAGAAAGTCTACAAGGCTATATAGTTTGTAAGTCCCCTATCGCTCATTTCCCAGGACTCTGGGTGCTGGCACAGGTAGACTGCCCTTGCCCACAGAGGCTCAAGCGCCAACGTTGGGAGAATTGGCTACAGCACACCTAACCACGCCTGATAGAAAATTTAAATTCCTCACTTGCCTCTTCTTTTTTTTTCTTTTACTTTTGGTCAAAGCAGCACAGGAAGACCAGCAGAATAATAAAAAGAGAGAGTGATATAGACTTAACACAACAGAGAAAGGTAAAGAAGAAAGGAAGGATGAATGAATGGAAAGAGGGGAGGTTAAATGAGTCTTTTAACACACTGGGGCTGCAAAAAAGGAGGGGTAATTAATCTGTTTTTTCCCCCCCAGCCTCCATTCCTGCTCGGTTCATGCATAAAAAGAGCAGTAAAAATGTGCATCTGTGTGTCTTTCTGTGTGTGTATGATTTTTACCAGCAACAAAAGGGGAATTGCTAGCAGGATTTTTTTTTGCAGCTATTAAATGCTCGGTTATAGGAATTATAAGATCTCAGGAGGAATCGGGGGAATCTGGGGAGGGGGCGCGGGGAAGGGGAGGGAGGGAGGGAAACCTCCCCAGCTGGGCTTTGACCGAGTTGCCGACCCTGCGGGCTGGAGGTGAACAAACCCCAATACCATTCCTCCCCCTTTAAACCCGGTTTCCCTTTTCCTCTCCCCCAATCTAGACCACCCGGTTCCACCGTGCCTTGCCCTCGAGGAAACACGCCTCGGATCCCAGGTCAGCTGCCGCCCACAACAGCTGCAATTTCGTCCCCAGATGTTGTCCTCCCCACCATCACCTTCCCATTCCCGAGGGAGGGAACACAGAAACCCGATCGTGGCTGTGTGTTGAGACGCGGAGCTCGATCGGTGGATTGACTTCATTTCAGACACCGAAGCGTCGGTTATTCGCCTTTTTTTTTTTTTAACCTTCCCCAACCTAGCCCTAAAATAAAAATAAAAATAAAATAAAATAAAAGACCAACCGACCCAGCTTGATCCGCAGCTACTAAAGCTTCCCCGGACCGGTGTGAAAACCATGGGGCGATGGGAAGGGAATCCGCTCGGACGGATCCGACTCTCCGCAGACCCCTCCCTCGCCTCCCTCCCTCCCTCGCCTTTCCACCCCCGTCACAGTTGGCATTGCCTGGAACAGGTTAAACCTCGTCCAGGAGATGATTCCTATTATTCATCGGTTTCATCGTGTCCCCCCCCCAAAAAAACCTTTCTCGGAAGAGGGACCCGAGGTGCAATTTAGCCCAGGGATTCTCGCCCCCACCCCCCTGCTAACTGGATCCCGGGGCGGTGTGTGGGGAAGAGGAAGGGGGACCGGAGGTGGGGGTAGGGGGGAAGGGGGGATCGAAGGAGATCACAAGGTAGAAAACGGAGAGATAACAAGGAGAGGGGATCGTAAGCCTCTCCCCCCCACCCCCGTCCGATATAGAAGGAGCCGGGAGAAACGCAGCGGAGAAAAAAAAAATCTCCTTCCTCCTTCGTCCCCCCCCCCCCCAAATTATACACACACATATATACCGCCCCAACTCCAGCCACACCGTTTCATGTAAGCTCCAGATCTCTCTCTCTCTCTCTCTCTCTCCACCTCCCCCCCACAACGAAAGAAACAAGCAAAGGAAATGCAAGGAAAGCAGCTTTTTAAAAAAATAATCTAAGAAATGGGAAGAAAACCCCCCCCCCCCCATTCCTTCTCATCCACCCGTTCCTCCCGATCCATCTGGGGTGGATTTCTCCTTTGCAAGAAATCCTCTTTTTTTTTTTCTCTCCTATTATTATTTTAAAGGAAGGAAAATGACAGATCTCTCTCTCTCTCTCTCTCCCCCCCCCCCCCCACCTCGCCAAAAGGAGACAGGAGATAAAGCAGTAAAATAAGAAGGGAGAACGATCGTGTTTGCAAGAATCCCTTAAAAAAAAAAAAGAAAGACAAGATACAGGAAAGGGAAGGGGAAATAATAATAATAATAATGACTCACCTAATTCGAATTGCTGGATCTCTGTGCGATCAAAAAAAAAAAAAAAAAGCGAAGCGGCGGAGATTGCAATTTTTTTTTTAATGTCTCGGGGAAGGAAGTTCCCCCTTTCCCGTCTCTCTTGAACACCTTAATTTTGAT